AAAAAANAAAAAAANAAAAAAAAAAAGAAAATCTTTATGCGAGAATATATCCGTGTTATTAGCTGTACTGGCTTGTACAGAAGAATTAAAATCGCAAAAGAATGGAATTTATTAGCTACGTTTAGTTATTTTTAACACTCAGAAGATTATATAAGCAATTTATACTTTCACTAGGAACAGAAATTACAATCTTTCGTATGGAAATAATTGCATTAAACTAATCCTGAATTATATTTGATATTTGATTTTCTATATCCAAGTGGATAATTATTTCGATTACAATAATTCAGATAAATATATATTATTTCATATTTCTGCAAATATTAGTACATCCATCTATGTTAATATTATTGTAATCCATTAATTTCATATTTTAATTAAATAGTACTTATAATATTAATGCTTAATTAATGCTCTATTAATGAGTATTTATTGTTTGCATAATTGCGATATAATATAATTTATAAAATATACTCTCTACGAGGATTCCTATCGTAATAACTCTCTCCAACTCATTTCTCCATATTTTTGATCAACAATTATTAATTAGCATTTTATTTTTATTTAAATTCAAATATTTCTTACGTTATTTACGATATAATATAAATAATCGTATAATGTTCATTTTGTCCAGTCGATTATCAACAACGGTTTCAACCACGGAAAAACCGAAACAAGACGTAACTGCAATGCCATTGCCAGTTAGCACGAGCACACAACAATCTTCGCAGTCACAGAGCACACCGGATCCATATCTAACTCATTTCGATCCTCGTTCCGAGCACCAGAGCTACAAGCAAGCACAAATGAGGCTCGAAGAGGTGCACAAGGAGAAAGTAACAAAAGTAAGCGGGTGATACCATCCATCTCGTTCTAATTTCTCTTACTTTTTATACACACACACACACACACACGAAGTATTATTTTTATTAATTATTGTTATCTTCGTTTTTTGCTTGTGTTGATTTTATTTTAGTTTCGTTGGATCATTTTAAATAATATGATTTTCGAAGAAAGCGAGTTGAATTTGAAGAAACAGCGTTATAAAAAAGAAGACGTAAAATCGAGTTTCGAGAGATAGCTATTATCTCGCGGGACACTAGTGTCGAAATCTTTGTGCTACAACGTTTTCAGGTGATGAAGGACTGGAGTGATCTCGAGGAAAAGTATCAGGATATTCGTGCCCACGACCCAGTTGCTGCTGATGCTTTCAAACGATGGATGACCGCGCGATTCCAGGAAACTGTTGCTGCTCTAGAAGAGAGCGGTGCCGCGGAGAAGCATCAGTTAAGCGCTATGCATCAGCAAAGAGTACAAGTATGTGATTTAGAATAATGGATGCAAGTGGCGAGCAATTTCTCGTTTAAGAAAGAAAACTTTCATAGATTTAAATAGGATGAAAGATACGTTTGGCGTGCGAATCTCAAAGTGTTTTCAAAATTGATAATATAAATTAAAAAGAAAAAAAAATGGGGAATAAGAAAGTAAATTGAGAACGATATTGGTAAACTGTATTTAAAATGATTTCAATATGCACACAAAAGAAGAAGAAAAAGATATAAGCGCCATAATGATATTTATTAAACGTTATATACTGGTATTATAATATTGGATATATATTTAAATTTTCAATATTAATTCGAATTTTGAAAAAGTGTCATTTCATATTTTCCATTTAATTTTTCATATAGATTTATATCTTTCTGAAATACACTGTACAATTGGAATCTTTTTGATATTTATGAATATTGCATTTGTCTTTGAAGATAAAAATTAAGTATATTAATTTTATTGATTTATTAAATTAGTTTAGTTTGTATTATATGTTTATTTTATATATATATATAGATAAGTTTAGTTTGTATATATATTTTTAAATGTTATATCTTAAAATTTTTTAAATAATTTTCTTTTTCTGCAACATTGAAATTTTAAAGAAAATTCTAATTTGATTGAAATAAAATAATGTATAATTTAAAAATTTTGAAAAAATTTTCTATTTTTCTTATTATTTGATTTTAATTATAATTTATATATCATTTATACAATATATACAATATAAATATATTTATTATATTATCAATTTATAGGAAGCTGTTAAACAAAGGAACGAAGAAGCGATGTCATGTTATACAGCTGCTTTGAACGAGACACCACCAAATGTAAGTTTTTCAAGTATTTCACCGCAATCGCAAATAATTTATTATATTTATTTTTATTTAGATGCATCGCATTCAAAAATGTCTCCAGAAGTTGCTTCGTGCTCTTCACAAAGATAGGCATCATACTATTGCTCATTACAAACATCTGCTGGACAGCAGTTTGGAACAAGCTCAACGCGAAAAGCCAGCAACCTTGGAGCACTTGGCGGAAATCGATAGAATCACCAATCAGAGCCTGTTGATGTTAGAACGGTAATGTGTCCGTCGATAATAGCGTAACGTCAACGTCTCAGAATACTAGATTCCAGATTTTGACAGAGCAGAAAGAAATATACTTTGACTTAATTAAGAATACTATATGGAGCATTTCATTCATTATATTTAGGTATCCTGATTTAAGCGCAAAAATTGGCCGCCTTATGGATGATTACGTTTTGGCCCTCAGGAGCAAAGATGAGACTCCTGGACTGCTGTTAGCGATGACACGAGAAGCGGAAGCAGCCATTTTAGATAAATATCAGGCCGATGTTACCAGTAAGCAACAAGGTAAATTTAATAAATGAAAAGGAAATACAACAAAAGTATAATACCGACTACATTTAAGCGAGGTCCATTGAATCTGTAGAAAAAGAACATCAAAAACAACTGGAACGAGCACGCAAGGAGCAACGCAAAGCTGAACGTGGTGAATTACGTACAGAACAGGCACAACAAGAAGAAAGCGATTCGATAAATGATAACAAAGATATTCAACAACAACCAGAGCAACCGGCAGCTATGCACAGCGAAGGACTTGTTAGGGCAGCTCATAGTTTGACACATGACATTTCCCATTCTGAACCGGTAAATATAGTTGGATAACAAGTCGCTAGAAAAAAAAATGATATTTATAAGAAAGGTATAAAAAAAATATTTCTATTTTATTTATGACATAGGGTTACTCTGTAAGAAGGGAGATGTATCACAGAGAAAGTCGATCCGTCTACTTTACACTTGCATTTGCTGGAATTGCACTTATGGCTGCAGCAGTAGTAGGTGTAGCAGTGTTCAAAAGACGCAGTGCAAGAAGCCCTCATAGTCAGGTATGCCTAAAAATAAAAATTTTAATTAATTAGAAATTTGATAATTAATAATAATTATTATTATCAAACAGGGATTTATTGAAGTTGACCAAGCGGCCACACCAGAGGAGCGGCATGTTGCAAACATGCAAATCAATGGATATGAAAATCCTACATATAAATATTTCGAGATCAAAGAATAATTTAATCACCTCGGTCTACAAGAGATTTTATTTGAAATTGATCTTTAATTGTCCGTTCTCGCGTATGTTCTTCAAGAATCTCATAGTATTTTGTTAGTGTAAGATACCTTTCAGGTTCGAGGTTCTTCCGAAGATTCCGAAAATATATAAAATCTATGTCTTAGTGATATATGGAATAAAATCTGTCCATAGACGAATAGGTATTGCGATACGATATCATTATGTGTCACGTCTCTTTATAATAACTCGCGACGTTATACGAAACATAACGATTTATGATATATGTATAAAGCAATTTTCATATAACATCTAGTAGATAGAAATGTTATGAGTCGATTCGTATACTCGTATCAGAATTATCTACAAGACAATTCGAAAGGGAAACAACATGCCAATGTGCCATATGGGAAGGGCGTAATGTTGTCTTCGGAAGTATCTCATACACGTTGTTTTCGTTTGTCATACATGTTATTAACAAAATAAATAAACACAGGAAGGAGCGCTCATAATGATAAACAAATTTAAAGGAAAAAAAGAAAAAAACAAAAAAAGAATCATCACTCATTAATGTTATACGCGATATCCTTCAATTAGAAGGCTGTGGACTATGATCAATTACGGACATTGTTTTTTCAGCAATAGGAAATGCGTGTGCGTTAGAAGAAACGTATCTCGTGATGACGCATTCATAATATGCGTGCTGTTGCGCTCTTTGCTGTATATTTCTAAGTTCTGATATTTTTCGAGATAGTAAATGGCAATAAAAGTAAATGCAGCTTAAATAATACAATGAAAATAAGAAGAAATGTTAGCAGCGGTAGCAGCTTACACAGCATAAAAATATAATCCGAATTAAAAAAAAAAAAAAAAAAAAAAAATGATAAGCATATTACATAGCACTATGCAAAAGTATATGCTCGATACGATACTCTTAAAATATCAGAACAGCGATCAATGCACGTTCACCTTCGTGATTGCAGCTGTTTTTTCATCTCCGTTCGATTCCCACTGCCTGATTTTTTCAGCGACCTTTTCAGTACTTAACGTCTACTTAGATTATACAACTTTATACTTATAAGAAATTGAATCATGAATCACGTATCTAAAGTTATTATGAGAAGCAAGATATTTTATCATTCCATAACAAATGTCCACTATCTTATCGAGGTGCTGCCTGAATGTATGCACGGAAAATATTCGGTAGCTTTGTTCGATTCGGCCGAGTTATCGTCGTGTTTCTCAGTGAAAACGGACGAATCGAAAGAATCACGTCGAGGTTGCCGAATAAGAGGAACAGTTCAACACAGGAGTTTTTTTGAGTGGCATTAGTACCTCAGATTTAGGTCGAATAAGTGGCGAATGTTAAAAGCAAGCGTGTTTCTGTCTTTTTTTTTATTTCACCAATTTTTTTCTTTTTTTTCTCTCAAAAGATGGTTCATACAATAACTATCTTAGGATTATTAATTATATATGATGACGATAATATATTACACGTTTAATGCTTATATATTTGTATATGGTCAAAAGATAGTAGGCTGCGCTTTAGCCAGGGTCGCGTGGGAAAGCATAGCTTTCGTTTGTTTTAATAAATATTGCACGTTTTTTTATTTATATTATATTTCTTTGTATCGATAAATTAATTATATTAATATATATATATATATATATGTTATATCATATTAATATGATATATATATATACATACATCATTTGATAAGTGTTATATATAATTATAACAAGGAGTAATATTAATAATTTTAGTTGCGCAAGTGTTATTATGTTATTAATGATGGTTTAAAATGCTTTTATTTAGATACTATTTATATCAAAGAATTATATTTTCCTTCTCACTTTCTTTTTATTACAATAAAATCATTTGTTTTATTATGTTAATTTTGCTAAAATAAATTAAACGAATGCGCAAACCGAGGACATTGAACAATAATCCTTGGATTCCTAAGCGCACGTGAAGCAGCTGCCTTCCTATTTAGCGAACATAGTAGATGTCTCACGCAACTCCGGTGGAAGAACGAGCCAACGAAAAAAGTATATACACAGGCACACACATTCGCGCATCGCTGAGTGTTAAAAATATTATTTTAGATATATTAAAATGATAGCAATTAACCATATGTCTATGGAGATACAACAAAAGCATAGCATCAATGCGTTAATAATAATATAAATATCTATATATATATATAAATATATATGTTCATGTGTGTATGTGTGTGTGTGTGTGTGTAATATATGAACAGTATATATACATAGATATATATATATATACATATGCATATACATGTACACCTATCAAATTAACTATACATTATGTACCTATAGCATATAGTCGTTAAATGAGAAGAAAAAAAAAAAAAACATTGACACGTCGCGTAATAAAAAAAATTTGACTTGATACGGATTCACAGATGTTGATGAAGAAAACATGTTGTTGTCTCTAAAAAGAAAAAAGGAACACAAAAATACTATTCTTTTTTTTTTTTTTTTAACTGTAATAATCATTCCAATTATAGTAATTTTTATTAATATAAAATAAAAAAAAAGAGAATGAAGATGGTATGCGACCATATGACAATTGGCCTACGTTGGCGGATGTGCTGTTGTTTATCATATATTATATTTGTCAAAAGATATGATGCGAATAGCACCTGTAATGCTTGCCAAATTTATCTCGTGTACCATCTTTTAAATAACATAATTATAAAAAATTTGGATTAGTACTAACAAAATTTTATACATGCCAAAAAAAAAGAATATCTAATTCCAATGGTGTTTTGATACGAGAACATATAATATTATTTTGATTATAATTGTATTGAAAAAATGATCAAAGAATTTAAAAAAAGATCGATCATTAATATTTGAGATTAATTTTTGAAAAGTGGAAGCATATCAGTTTTTAGTCTGTTCTAGTTTTGACGATAGGGCAGCCGTGTCATTTTTTCACTTCAAGATATTGTGAATTTGCATCGAGTCACTCTGTATAAGTTTAAGAATTGATTTTTGTAAAGAGGTAATAAATATTTACCGTAATTAATTAAACTTTAGCTTAAAGAAAAGAAAAATAAATGGAAAAAAGACACGTGAGAAGTGAGGAAAAGAAAGAAGAAAAAAAAATAAGAATGAACAAAAGAAAAAAATAATACGTCCTTTGCGTAGCGGTTCGGATTTAGAAGTTGGCGAAAATGGGAATAATAACGGAACTAAACTTTATTTTTACAGTTCTTTCGGTATAGATCGATTCTTACGATTTTATCGCGTCTTTGATGAACTTTAATATCGTAATAATGATGAGATACAAAAATCCGATTGTACGTGCAATATATCAATACTCGTGTATTTACACGCCTATACACAGCGCTATATATAGTTTTCGATCTTACGTCTTATACATTCTACTTATACGTTATTACATTTAAAACAAAGTGACTTTATGCTTAAATCAAAGTTCTATTCGATATCATCATATTTTTATATTATTTTGTTTCGTTGTTCATTATTGTTTTAGTTATCGGCAATTGAATCACTTGAATCACTTAAATAATAAAATATTTGGTTTTGTATAAACCGATTGATTGACGCAAGTTGAACTTAATCAACGTCGGATTAGATAAAAATTGATATTTTATAAATATCGCTGATTTGGTCGAAAATAAAAATATACAAATGAAGAAAATGATACGTAATCTAAATCGAAGAAAAATGATGAACATTTTAAGTTGCTTTTAATTGTAGGATCGGAAACTTCACGTTTACTATAAAACGTTTCTATGACGAATAGAAAAATTATTAACCGGAGGATTAAACTAACTTCCTCGTCTCCCTTTTTCTCTCCATTACACAAAGATTTCTCCTCGCCACTCACAAATTTTATCGCATTAATACACTCCGTGAAAAGAACGTATTGTGTTTGTGGATATATGTAATTTTACTTATCAATAAATAAATTACAAAGATAATTACTAATTGAATGTCAATCATTCTTCAACATCGATATTAAATGAAATATTCTTATTCTGTTCAACATTTTCTTATAAATTTTTCTTATGGAACAATAATTGAAATTGATTGATATTTAATTTAATTGAATAATATAATTATTGTTAATATTAAAAAGTTATTTTTTTTATAATTTAAAAAAATTATTGAATTTTAAATAAGATCATATAATGAATTAAAATATGTAATAGTTAATTTATGTATGTTATATATAATTTTGTATATAAATCAGAAACACTTGGTGTTTATATAAATGTAATATAAAAATATGTTTTACACTAAAAATCTTAGATAATAAAATTACTAAGAATCATTTTCCATACTTAGATATCGTTAATATATCTTTATGATTAATTCATTTGTCGTGACTGGTTGCTTAATACACAAGAGTCACGACCATTGAATCACAAATTGTTGTTTGTCATTCAGCAATCTGACAAAATTAGCATTGAAACGAATGTACGTTACTTTCGTTTCTTTAATATTATAAATAACAGTAACGTCCGGCAGTATATGTCCGGTAAGTATTTTTTTTTATATTAGTTATAAAACTATATAACTTATCTATTGATATATATTAATTGATACTTTATCATAATAATTATTATTATAAAATATTATAATCGGTTTGTAATAAAAATTCATAAGCATTTGATAAAATATTGATAATCAACATTTTTATTTTTATTAATATGATGTATTAATTAATAATTATGTCCGATTGGTTGATAACAAATTTGTTCTTTATAAATGTGCACTTATAAATATTATATTTAATTTTGAGTTAAAATTAAACGAAAAAATTAATTTTCATTTTAATACAAATAGAATAATAAGCGAATTTTAAGTTCTACTTACAACTATATGCATGTATACTCTTTAAGCAATTTGTTACTAGTAGTAGTTATAGTTCATTGTTGAACACATGTGAAAGTCAATAACATTTAATTCGTACCTAGTGTATGATATTATAAGATTGTATTGTGAGATAATACTATCGATCGAAAAAACAATATGGCGACCACGATAAATATCTAGGAAATGTCAAATCCAAAATAAAAATCAACATTGTATTAAAGTATGATGTACACAAAGATTTTAATAATGTAAACATAATGTAGTGCAAATCAGAAGATAAAAAATAATTATAAGTGACCTGAATGTCTTTAATATCTTTAAATTTGATAACCTTATACCTTAACATGATGAACTTTGAAAGGTATTAATATTTACTATTAACTATAAAGATATTTATTTAAATAATTTTTATGTATTTTATACTTAAATCATTGAAAAATAGTATTGCCAAAAAATATATTATTAATTTTTACCAATAGATAGCATAAATGTGATTTTTTTACTTTTCTAGATTCTACAATTATTGTTTATTTTAAAATAATTAATTAAAAATTTGCTAAATGAATAAACAAGACACAGCTCAGATGTCACTTGATGATGACTTTGATAGACCATTTGAAGATGTGGAACCTCTACAATGGGGAGCATTACGGGAATTATGTCATGCTAATGCAGAATACTTCATGCCACATCAAGATGAGAACAGTATTAGAATTAGAGCTGCACTTATGGCTATATTAGATCATTTGATACAATTGCAACCATTATATAAAGAAATTAGTAGAATTGCACCAATGTTTGATCTTGATGTGCAGACACCTGGTAATGGATATAGAAGTTTTTTGGTACTAATAGATAAATGTATTATTCATTCTCGTTCCATCTGTCATCAAATATATTGTCAAAAAGATTCTATATTTTTTCGTAAAAGTTATCACATGAGGTAATTATGATTTGTTTTAAAGAATTATTAAATATTTGTATCTAAAATTATATTAACAATAATAAGTACAAATATTTATAGGGAAATTGAGGCTTGCTCACAATTGTTGGCATCTTTGTGCACTTGCTTAGAACATTTACAAACTCTTTATTCATGGAGTGAATATATAAATGATGGAAAACCATCTCTTTTTATAGGTGATAATCATAATCCTCATGAAATTTTAAATAAAGTAGAAACCATAAATCAATATTGTTTTTATGGTAGATGTTTAGGATTTCAGGTAATGATAAAAATATATGTAATTAATGATTCATTATTTTTTGTCATTTTCTAGTAAAAATGTGAGATACATAAATATGAAAAAAATATTGTTTTCAGTTTCATGACAATTTAAAACCTATTTTAAAGACTATACTGGTTTGTATGGCAACATTCAGTGAAGCATTTTATGCTAATGGTACATTGCTAGCAAGATGTGCTAATTCTGTCAAATATATGTTAGATCCCGAAATAAGAGCTCGTCGTATCGTCGATGTATCTCAACGTGCTGACATTTCATTTTGTCAAGCTTTTTGGTTCTGAATGAGACTGGTAATATATGTGATTTTCAATCATAACATATATATAATTTATTTTAAATGTAATAATTGCTTGCTATATTTTGATAATTGTTTTAATATATGCTATATAAGTTATATATTTTAGATATTGCACGGAAGTTGCCCGCTATAACATCTTCTTCTTTGGCAATAAATCAAGTAATTTCTATTCCACCTGAAGAATTGACACTTTCTACATTAAATGGATCAACTATATCAATTCCTATACCAAATAGTCATATCGGAAAAAAGCCGATACATGTTAGACTGTTAAGTTCTAAACGTCGTTTAGGAATGGTAAAGAGATGACTTACTTATTTTATATAAATAGCACTATTGTTATTTTTAGTTATTATTTTCCTTTCCACATTCCTTTAATAAAGTAGAAATTTTTGTGAAACATCAGTTTCACTCCTGTGCAGTACATGCTTTTCTCAGGTTGGTTCAGGTGGAGTAGGGGGAGAATTGCATGGATTGTCCAATGAATTGATAATTCATTGTCATGGTGGAGGTTTTGTAGCACAAACTTCTTTATCTCATGAAACATACTTACGTGGTTGGGCCATAAGTCTTGGTATACCTATTTTAAGTATAGATTACAGTTTAGCGCCTGAAGCTCCATTTCCTCGTGCGCTCGAAGAAGTGCTATATGCATATGCATGGGCTTTAAATCATGCAAGTACATTGCTTGGAAGTACAGCTCAAAAAATACTTCTTGCTGGTAAGATGTAAAGCATTGCATGTTATTATTTTCTTAATATATCTTTATGCACATTTTTTTTTTTTGCATATATTTAATATTTGCATATAAATAATATAATTTTTTAATAGGTGATTCTGCTGGGGCCAACTTAAACTTGGGAATTACTTTAAAATGTTTACAATTAAATATTAGAAAACCTGATGGAATATTTATGGCATATACACCAGTACTTGTTGATTTTGTATTATCACCTTCGCGATTGCTTTGTCTGTCAGATCCATTATTACCTATGGGATTTCTTCTTCGTTGTTTGAAAGCATATATTCCTTCTGATAATAAAAAAGT